GGGGCTCGATCCCAGGACCCTGGGATCATGACCTGAGCCGAAAGCAGCCGCTTAACCGACTGAGCCACCCAGGCGCCCCACCCCAGCTGTTTTATAGTAACAATATATTTTTGTGATTATTTTCTTTGGAGAAAATTCCAGAGATATTAACTACCTTTAGGATGAATTTAATGTCTGCTGTTTTTTCCAGCTTTTAAATTACATTATTATTCGACTGAACTTATCTCGATCTGCCTTTTAAACCACTTGTAAATAACCGTTAGGGGAAAACCTACTGTGGAAGCCAAAATGTCACAGTAGTGGTCAGGATCCCTTCAGGTATGCAAGTGTGGAAAAAGAAAGCAGCCTTGGATATTTGATAAATCATAATAGTACTTTGTTTTAAAAGCATCTATATGCTAATAAAAATGCTATGATAAGAAATAGCAAAAGTAGTCATGTTATTCTTTTAATAAAAGCCATATTACACAAGACATAAATTTGACAACCTATGACTCATAAATAGGATCCTAAGTCCCTGAGTATACCTATAGTTGCAGTTTTTATTCGCAATGGGTGAAGTGTACATAAGGAATTTATTTTTATTGCATCATTTTATTGTTGAGGTAAAACTTGTAAACAGTGAAATACATGGACCCTATATGTATGATTTAGTGGATTTTGAAAAATGTGTATACCTATATAACCAATATGTTATAGAACATTTACATTACTTCAGAAAGTAGTTTTGTGGTCCCATACAGTCCATTCTTACCCACCATAGATAATCACCATTCTGACTCCAGTCATCAAAGATTAGCATTGCTAGTTCTTGAGTTTTATAAAGAATTCTTTTGTGCCTGGCTTCTTTTGTGCAATATAATATTTTTGTGATTCACTGATGTTGAATGCATCAGCAATTTGTTCATATTTATTGTTGAATGGTATTTTATTTGGATTATTGCCAGGTTTGGGGGGCTGGTATAAATAAGTTGCTATGAACTTTCCTTTACCAAGTCTTTTTCTGGGCATATACTTTCATTTCTATTGAGGAAATATCTAGAATTGAAATTGTTGGGTTGTAGGGTAGGTGTATCTGCAACTGTAGCACAAAGTGCTAAACAGTTTTTTCCATAATTGGTGATATTATTTTGCATTCCCACCAACAATGTATAAGAACTGTATTTGCTATGAATCCTCACTAGCATTTAGTGGTGTAGGTCTTTTTGTCATCTTATTGGATGTGAAGTGGCATCTTATTGTAGTTTTAATTTACATTTCCCTGTTGCCTAATGAACAACTTTTCATGTTCTTATTGTATCATTCTTATACACTCTGTTTGATTGTGTTTCTTCAAGTGCTTCACCCATTTTTTTTTTTTTCCAATTCCAAAGGGAATGTTTATTAAAGGCTCAAGAGTAACTGTCAAGCCAGTCTTTCTCAGGCTTAGCGTGCATAAAGAAATCATTATGACAAAGGAAGGTATCAACTACATACTAAAACTTAGAGCTTGCTAGAACAAGTTTCAGGTGTATGAATGCCAGCCACCCAGGACATACCTGGTCTTCATAATTTTATACAGGATATTCTGTCAACTAATTTCAGCACAAGTTTATTTTGTGTTGAAATTAAATTCATTTAAATGTGTTAAATTCAAGTCAGAACTAACACTTAAAGACATTGATAAAATAATGTAGTTATTTCAATAGCAAACAAACACTTTTTTCTTAAAGATAGTTACCACTTTTTAAGATCAGTAATGCACTACACCGGAAAAAAAAAAAAAAAATTAAACCCTAGACAGGGGAAGCCAACTATACTATTCACAGCAGGAACTATTCCAGAAGCAGCAGAAGGTTCAAGGATATAAATGAGATTTAAGAGGAGGTAGACTTGAGTTTACTGCCAGAAACTCACAAAGACCTCTGTTGATCTGAGAAGGTCCTCCAAGCTGGCTTTCATTCAAGTCTCTTAAATCTCACTGAAAGGGAGAGAAGAAAACCTAGCCTTGCCCCAAATTTTCTGCTATTTAGTGCCAGCTCTCATCAATTTTCACTCTTCTTTATGTAACTTAGGAGTTCGTCTTTCTCCATTTGGTAGCCGCTTTTTTCCCACTGTTCTCGCAACTGCTGCAACAGAGCCCCAATTTCTTTTCCTGAAGAAGTGCCCACTTTTCTGATGTCATGGCCACTCACAGGAAATGGAGGAATGCACCACTGCTGCATCTGCTGCAGAAGACCCCGCTCTCCCTGGTACTTCAGGAGTTCACACACGCGGGTCATTGCGTCAGATTCCCTAGAATCTATAATGAAGTCTTGATAGGGTTTCAGTGGCTCTGAACTATCCGTTGCTTTAACTAAATCTTTCCTGTTTTTAACTATGAATATACCAAGGTTCTTCTCTTCTTTTGAAATCTTCAACCTCAAATCCAATTTTGTGACATCATCCTGTACTTTGCATAATGAGGCCAAGAGAGTCATTGGCTTTGGTGAAAAACCATCAGCATTTTTACTAACTTCGTTAAATTCTTCTAAACTTGCACTAGTAGGTAAGCCTATGTAAGGAGCCACATCAAGATCATGGAGGAGGTGAATCAAATGATTTACATGGTTACCAACAAGAATTTTTTTCAATTCCACCCAAATCCTCTCTCCTGATATTCCAGCCAAGCCTTTTGCATTTTCTGCAATTGCTTCCAAAGTCTCAGGATCATGGTCACCAGGTTTGTCTACAATTCTCCCATAAAACCGGAAATACCGTAAAATTCGAAGATAATCTTCTTGTATCCTCTGTTTAGCATGTCCAACAAACCTAACTTTCTTATTTTTTAAATCTTCATAACCATTGAAGTAGTCAAATAAGGTACCATCAAAACCTAAAAACACAGAATTTATAGTGAGATCTCTGCGTTCAGCATCTTTCTGCCAATCAGTTGTGAATTCTACCTCAGCATGTCTTCCATCAGTGACAACATCAATCCAGTGTAGTAATCTCAAAATTTTCTTCATGAAGCCTGGCAGTAATTGTTCCATGCTTTTCTCCTTTGTTGTTTATCATACGAATACCCGCAGCCTGAAACATGTCCTTCATTTGAGCAGGGGTAGCAGTGGTAGCAAAGTCCACATCTTGAGGCTTTACTCCATTTAATAAATCCCTCACTGCTCCTCCTGCTATTCTTAATTCATGATTTTCTTTGACAAATAATTCTGTCAGACCCTTCAATCCTGCTGTGAACAGTGACTGGTATTCTGGAGACTGCAACTTCATTGTAAATAGATACTGCTTGAGAAGGCACAGCCTACTCCAACTACCGCTCAGTAATGGCCTGCGCCAGGGATTCAGGCACCTCAGCATCTGGGGGCAAGGTCACCAAGCACACATCCAGACCACGTGGGGAAGAAAAACAGTGTCCTTCCAACTCCGCCTAAAATTAGAAAAACCCGCTGAGGACCCTGGCCTTGAAGAGGCGTGTGCCGCCCCTCACACCAGGTGCCAGACCGAAAAAGCTTAGTGAGACCCTCGGGGGGCCGGCCCCAAAGAACGGAAAGTGCCGGGGAAGCCTGATGATTCAGCCTGCAGTTACTGGAACGTGGCAGGGACGCGGCCCCACGACCTGCACGTTGAGCTCTGTTCCGCAGTGGAGAGAACGCCTCTCACCGCCACAGGCTCGCACCCTCCCCAGGAGGCTCCATCGCCCCACTGCCCTCCCTGTGGCGCGCACCCGCACGCCCTCCCTCCCGGCCGCTTCACCCATTTTTTAATTGGGTAGGTTTTCTTATTATTTAGTTGTGTTTTTTATACATTCTGGATACAAGTCCTTTGTCAGATGCATGTATGGTGTATATTTTCTTCCAGTCTGTGGCTCTCTGTTTAATTGTATTAGTTGTGTCCTTTCATGATAACAGTTTTTACTATGAAATTATAAAATTATAATCATTTATTTCTTTGGTGGTTAATGCTTTTGTGTCCTAAGAAGAGTTTGCCTTCCCTAACGTTTAGCAGGTATTGTTTCTTTCTACTTGCTTTGTAGTCTTAGCTTTACATTATTAGGTCCTTGATTTATCTGAATTAATTTCTGTGTATTAAGTGAGATTGGGATTGGTTAAAGTTTCTTTTTTTTTAAATATGAATATCTAGTTGTGCTAGCACCATTTGTTGAAAGGGATATCCTTTCTCCATTCTTTATTGGTACTTTAATTGATTTTCTGTATTCCTTGCTGTCTACTTCATTGATATCTGCTCTTTTATTAATTTATTGTTTCTATTTATTTTGGGTTAATATGTTTTTTTTTAAGATTTTATTTATTTATTTGACAGAGAGAGAGAGAGAGAGAGCACAAGCAGGGGGAGCAGGGGAGGGAGAAGCAGGCTCCCCACAGAGCAGGGAGCCCGATTTGGGGCTCAATCCCAGGACCCTGGGATCATAACCTGAGCTGAAGGCAGATGCTTAACCAACTGAGCCACCCAGGTGCCCCAAGAGTCCATGAAGATGAACCCAGGTGCCCCATAATCCATGAAGATGAACTCTTGTTACCTGTCCCTTAATTGGGGAATGCATTGGTTACTGGGAAGAGCATTGGCAATAGGCACTGGGCTAGTGATCAAGTACATTTTCCTATTTATCACTCTAAAAAATAGAAGTAACCAATACATGAGTGAATATAGATTCCAAAATGCTTTCACTAATGAAACCCTGACAGCTTAACTTCTTAACCCCTTCCACAATCTACAAGTCCTCCCTGCTGGGAAATTCCTATCATTTAACCAACTTCTCTCATGTCACAGACAAGGCCTATGTCCTCTGTTCCACTGTAAGTGAGGATAGAAAACCATTTTTACCATTTTTGGTATAATAACCTCTCATTTGATACCTAGAAATTGCATGGTTAACTTTTTCACCTGATGTCTATTACTTATTTCCACAGAGACTAGCATAAATTTTGAAATTTCTTTACAAAGGGACACACCACCCCACTCCCTTTAACTCTAGCTTTACTGGGAAGCGCCACACAGTTTTCCCCAAGGCCATTCTTGATTTCAGGTGACAAAACACAGGCTACTTGCTATAGGTATATTGACTCATGCCTGTTACTTCTTCTTGAGTCTGGGTCTGCAATTGGTTCCTCTGTAAATCTCCCTCTTTTGAAACTAAATGTTCAGAAAGGATATCTAAACTGATGTGAGGCTGTTTTTTTCAGCACAAGTGATTTCTCAAAGCTCTATGCCACTATTCTTCATTCCAGCTATTAAAATTCATAGCAGCAAACTCTGTGAGCACTGGATCTATGTGGGCTGGAGGTAAATTTAGGCCTTAACAGAGGATATCACTCACAAGGCAAGATAATTTAAAGATGGTCTCTTTGCATTTGAATTTTAAAGCATTACAGCAGGAAGAAATAAATGTTGCCAGTGTAAATTTATGTATGGATATGGCTTCTGAAAATTATCTTTAGAATCAACATATGGATCCTAGAGATCCTATAATAAGCTTGGATAATGGAAGATCACTTATTTTTATCTCAGTTTATTTTTAAGGATGATTTTATACATTTTAATATCCACAGGAGCCAAAACTGTATTTCCACAGGAGAAAGACATGTATGGCAATCCAAAAGATTGAAGCCAAGTATCTGTCCCCAAACTTAAAGTTATAAGACGATCTCATTTGACCATCTGGGAAAACAGTATTAAATAGATAAATTGCAAACAGTGGCCATGATCTGCAAAAGTAATCTTTTTATTGTAGCTGTATCCTGTCTCCCACATAGGATGGCAGTAACATTACAAAGGTAATTTTGGCACTGATAGGCGTAGAACGTCCAGTTAAATTTAAATGTTTATTTGCTATATTTTTATTGGCTAAATCTAGCAACTCAATTATAGGGGTAATTCTTTGGTCTTGTGTGCCTCATTTCATTTGGCAGCAGGCAGAGAATTGGAGACTTTCACTAGAACCAGAAAAATTATTCATTATTTTTAATAAACTTTCTTCATTCTTCATTCTCCTCCCCAGGCCTTTCAGTCTCAAGAGCTATAAAGCACAGCAAAACCAAACAGAACATGGTGAAATTAATTAATGGTGTTTTAATTTCACTTTTATCTGTGCTTATCTATATAAATAATGCACATTATTATAATGATTTTAGCAAGACAAGTTGTTCAACCAATTTATGAAACCCTTCTAGGGCAGCAGAAGGTATCCTGCCTCCCAATCTAGATTCCCTGACGTTCTCTGCTAAATGTCTTATGTTTTTAAATAAATTTAGAAAATCTATGCACTAGTACTCCTGTTAACTAAGCCAGGGAAGCCAACTCTTTAGGTCAAGGAGGAACTTCAGTGTCCTGTTTCCTGTTTACGTGGAATTTACATCTTGTTCTTGGCAAGGCACCAGGATAAACAAGCCTGGACTAAGGTTAGGGAGACGGAGGGAACGAGAGAGTGTTGGGCGAGGGCTGGAGAGGAACCTAAGCAAGTGTGTCATTTGGGAGAGGTTCTTTGGGAAGGACAAAGGCACAGCGCTCTCCATCTCCCTCAAAACACACCAGGGAACAGCAGCTGTTTGAGTGGAGCTGTTGCTTGGGCTTGCCAGGCTGACTTGGGTTCCAAGGTTTTTTTGTCTTTCTGGTGTTAATTTTACTTGCTTTGTCATCATTCTAATTTTTGTCCTGCCTTCCCCCCCCCACCCCCCTTTGGAACTGATCACTTGTTCACTACATGTATCTCTAGGAGATCTCCCTGTGATTATTGTGGGAGACAGTGATTGGGAAGGGAGGATGGGCATAGGATTTCACAAGGTAGCCGTTCAACCAGAGTTCTGTGATATTTTTATCTCTAGCATAATTTATCCTGGCCACAGTATTTGGGAGCAAATATCTTGGATTTTATTTTTAAGGCTTAAGTGTGAAGTGTGATGATGTAGTTTCTTTCTTGCAAGTCTCTTAAGTATACCAAAAGCATTTCCTATTGGATTTAAAAGCCAAACTGGTGTGCCAAAGGGCCAACGGTAGGCAAAATTCAGACCCTGGAAAAAGTGACTGGGGCTCTCTTTCACCCTACCACGTATTCACTCATTTGGCTGGCCCTTCTTGGACCTCAAATACCAGAGCCCGATTCCCTCATATTACATTCTGTTTTCCCACCAGGGTACTCTATCCAGCTCTTTACCTTTTTCTCCTACCTGTCAATTCAGTTGTTCATTCAGTTATTTATTAGTTCATTTTGCAAATAATTATTATCAGCTATGTACTTGGCTGTTCTAGGTGCTGAAGTGCAGCAGTGAATAAAGCAATGTTCTTGCCCTCATGTGCATGTGGGGGTGGGGGGCAAATAATATATAAGTAATATAGCATGTAAGTATATAAATATATATAAATATTTAAATATAAAAGTATAAGTATATAATTCAGCTAGAGATAAATACCATTAAGAAAAGTCAAAGTGAGAAATTCATGGAGGGCCTCTTTGATGAGATGAGGTGATATTAAGCAGCAACCTAACTGAAGTGAAGGAGTAAGGCAGGCAGATAACTGGGGTGGAGAGTTCTGGGCAGAGGGAAAAGCAAGAAAGCCAGTGTAGGAGAAGGTGAGATCTAAGTGGTAGCCAGGGTCCAGATCATGCAGGGCCTTGTAAGGACTTTGGGATTCCTTTTGGAGTGAAGGGACAATACTGTAGGGTTTTAGATGCAGGAAAATTACAAGGTAAAACTGATATTGTGAAACACTTGGGTAGCATTTCCCAAACATACCAATTGTTTTCATGCATCTGAGGCTTTGCATATGCTATTTTGTCTGCCCTCAAATGTTCTCTCTCAACCCATCTCTCTGCCCCCATTGTGTTTTGTACAGACAGCTGTTATGCGACATTCATTATAGTATGCTCTAATTCTTTATTAGGAGACTATCTCTTTCAATTGTGAAGCTGCAGATGATGCCCTCGTGCATTATCCACCAAAGTTAGAACAATGCATGTAGCCCTTCCCTTATCAAAGTGTTGAATGGGTACATAAATGATGTTGAGTGGATAAATAAATAATAAATGCTTCAAATTCTTATTTCACTAAGAAGTGAAGTTCCACATTAGAAAATCCCTTTAACTCTGAAGATTGGTTTAACAATATACAGCATGAACTTGGCTTTTTTTTTTTTTATTCTTATGTTAATCCCCATACATTACATCATTAGTTCTAGATGAAGTGTTCCATGATTCATTGTTCGTGCACAACAC